AAATAGCACTGCCCTCACGTCTACCCCTGCACACACGACACCACCCTCACGTCTACACCTGCAGAGAAATAGCACTGCCCTCACGTCTACCCCTGTGCACACGTGACACTGCTCTCATGTCTACTCCCGTGTACTGCCCTCATGTCTGCACTTGCAAACACATTACCATGCTCATGCCTACACAAGCACACACACGGTACCGCCCTTATGTCTAAACCCACACACACAGCACTGCCCTCACATCTACACCTGCAAAGAAATAGCACCATCCTCATGTCTGTACCCATCCACACACGGCACCACCTTCATGTCTACACCTGCGTACATGCGGCATCACCAAACGTGGAATCCAGTCAGAAGCCATCTTTCAGCCAACTTTCCAGCAGAGCGATTCTCTTGGATGCAGGTTGTTTCAAAGGCTCCAAGACAAATCTAGGTGGCATAGTGTCTAAGGCACTTGACTGCTAACCAGAAGGCTGACGGTTCAAACCCACCAGTCACTCCTCGGAAGGAAGGGTGGGCAATCTACTTCCGTAGTGATACCGCCTCAGAAACCCAAGGGGGGATCACTATGAGTCACTATGAGTCGGGCCCAACTCGACGGCACATAACAACAACAACAACAACAAGACAAATCTTGGTGGCAGGTTTGAGAGTCACCTGTGGATTGACAAATCTGCACACACACTTACAATTAATCATTGCTCTGTTGAAAGAACCAGTTATGACAATTTGAGTTTCCATCCTTTTTCTACAGTAAGTAACTCTAGTGTGTACTGTGTATTGTTTTCCTAAACTCAGGAAATGCTGCATGCTCATTTCTGAGGACAGACAGCACTCCAGGAGCCCCACAAGGAGGACTGCAGATGCCCAGCACAGCTCCCTCTAAATCGCCTACCAGCGTGGACATCTGCCCTGTACCTTGACCTCTGCTGACCAGGTAAGAGGTTCAGTGAATAAAGTGGCCATCTTTCTATCACTCCTTACAATGTAGGTGTCACAGGGCAGGCAGCGGAGTCCTGACATAGGACTCGATTCCAAGGCACGCACCTGCTTCTGCAACGCAAGCTCCCCATCGAACTCCTGGAGTCTCCTCTCCAGTTTCCACTTGAGCTTTTCATACTGTTCCCGATGGCGGTCCATTTCACCATTTTTGTCACTGTGGTGATGAAACACAGCAGTGAGGACAGATACAGTGAACGGCCACCACAGCATACATTTGTGGGGTACACCTGACACACCGAGATGGTGCAGGACGGTGTTGGTGGGTTTTCCAGAAGTTCCACCCCCACCTGGTGGCAACAAGACAGTACATCACTCCCCTCACATTTATACCTCCGTCAGTGCCCCACCAGTGGCAATGCAATGATGTGTGGTGAGGCCTCACTCTCACCTGGGCATTATCAGGAAGCTGGTTGTCTACCCCCGACCTGGACTCAAGCACTACCCTCAAAACAGATGGCCACTCACAAAAAGAGCCTCACAAGATCTTACCAATGAGTCTAGAGTCATCAATACTTCTTCCTTACCCATCAAGATAAGGCTGCAGTAAGCCAGCCATGGGACCAGTGGAGGGCGGGTGTTGGCCATGCATGGAGCCGCCCCTGGGCCGCAGATAGCCAGTCCTGGACGAGTAGAAGGTGGGTGCTTGCCCCTGGGGTAGGCTGGGTAAGCGAGCAGGGTGGAGGAGACAAGAAATGAGCAGAGCAGTGCAGAACAGCTAGGGGAGCAAAGCTGCCTGTCAGTTTGTCCCACTGTGGTGGGTTGAGTATTGCTATGAGGCTGGAGGCTATACCACCGGTGTTTCAAATGCCAGCTGGGTTACACATGGTGGACACATTTCAGCAGAGCCTCTTGACTAAGACAGACTTGGAAGAAGGAGTGGGCCATCCACTTCTCCAAGAACCGGCCAGTGCAAACCTTATGAACAGCAGTGAAACACTGTGTGATCTAGTGCTGGAAGGTGGGCCCCTCAGGTCTGAAAGCACTCAAAATATGACTGGAGAAGAGCTGCCTCCTCAGAGTAGAGCCGGCCTTAATGATGTGCATAGGAAAGCTTTCAGGACCCCCATTTGCTGATGTGGCACATCTCAAGAAGAAACAGCTCCAAACATCCATTAATAATCAGAATGTGGAATGTACAAAATATCAATCTAGGAAAATTGGAAGTTGTCAAAAATGAAATGGAATGAATAAAGATCAATATCCTAGGCACTAGTGAGCTGAAATGGACTGGTTTTGGCCATTCTGAATCAGACAACCATGTGATCTACTATGCCGGGAATGACAAATTGAAGAGGGATGGTGTCACATTCATCATCACAAAGACTGTTTCAACATCTGTCCTGAAGTACAACACCATCAGTGATAAGACAATACCCATACACCTACAAGGAAGACCAGGAGCTCTGGTAGCATAGTGCCTAAGGCACTTGACTCCTAACCAGAAGGCTGGCGGTTCAAACCCACCAGCCGCTCCTCAGAAGGAAGGTTGGGCAATCTACTTCTGTAGTGATACTGTCTCAGAAACCCAAGGAGGGGTCGCTATAAGTCAGGTCCGACTCTATGGCATATAACAACAACAAGGAAGACCGGTTAATACTACTATTATTTAAATTTACGCACCAACCAACAAAGCCATGAAACATGAAGAAATTGAAGTTTTTTTACCAACTTCTCCAGTCTGAAATTGACTGAACATGACTGGAATGCAAAAGCTGGAAACAAAGAAGAATCACCAGTAGTTGGAAAATATGGACTTGGTGATAGAAATGTTGCTGGAGATTGCATGACAGAACTTTGCAAGACCAACGACTTATTCATCGTGAATATCTTTTTTCAACAACACAAATGGTGGCTATACATGTGGACTTGGTCAGACGAAGTACACAGGAATCAGACTGACTACATCTACGGAAAGAGGCAATGGAGAAACTCAGTACCTTCAGCCAACACAAGGCCAGGAGCTGAATATGGAACAGATCATCAACTGCTCATATGCAAGTTCAAGGTGAAGCTGAGGACAATTAAAAGAAGTCCACAAGAGCTGAAATATGACCTTGATTATATCCCTCCTGGATTTAGAGACCATCTAAAGAAAAGATTTGATGCACCGAGCACCAATGACCGAAAACCAGAGGAACTGTGGGATGACATCAAGAACATCATACATGAAAAAAGCAAGAGAGCATTAAAAACATAGGAAAGGAAGAAAAGACCAAAATGGATATCAGAAGAGACTCTGAAACTTGCCCTTGAATGAGAGTAGCTAATGCGGATGGAAAAATTGACAGGATAAAGAGCTGAACAGAAGATTTCAAAGAGCAGTTCGAGAAGACAAAGTCAATTATTATAATGAAATGTGCAAATAACTGGAGTTGGAAAACCAGAAGAGAAGAACACACTTAGCATTTCTCAAGCTGAGAGAATTGAAGAAAAAATTTAAGCCTTGAATTCCAATATTGAAAGATTCCGTGGGCAATGTTGCGGTTACCTAGTGCCACTCTGACAAGAATATACCACAAATGGGATGGTTTTAACAAACAGGAGTTTATTCTTATAATTTGGAGGCTTTAAGTCCAAGTTCAAAGTGCCAGGCTCTAGGAGCTGGGTGAAAGCCCCTAGACCTTGGGCTTCAGCTCTGCCTCTTGCTCCTGGCCCACTGAAGCTAGAGGCATCTCTTCACTCAGGCAGCTAATGGCTGCTGAGGCTAACAAGCCCAAGGTCAACAGATAAAATGGCACAGTCCCGATGTTACCAAACCACACGGCAAACATTAATTCAAGTCCATTAAAAGTTCCAAGGTAGGCAGAACATGGCAGGCTGCTAAACAATGACATGGCTACATGCAGGGTTAAAGAGTGCCATAAGCTAGAGACCATTCCCCAAGACATCTCCTTACATACAGGAAGCAGACCACATCCCTAAGGCAGCCTGCTCACAGTAGATTCCACCACAGAGTTGATGACCAGTCTCATCATGGGGAATACTACATCCAGATGCCCAGCCACTCAACCAGGCCAGCCAAGTGGACACACAACCTTAACTACCACAGGCAATATGTTGAATAATGTAGGAAACATCAAAAGAAGATGGAAGGAATACACAGAGTCAATATACCAAAAAGAATTGATACATGATCATCCATTTCAGGAGGTGGCATATGATCAGGAACCAATGGTACTGAAGGAAGAAGTCTAAGCTGCACTGAAGGAACTGGCAAAAAACAAGGCTCCCAGAATTGACAGAATACCCATTGAGATGTTTCAACAAATGGATGCCCCACTGGAGGCACTAACTCATCTATACCAAGAGATTTGGAAGACAGCTACCTGGCCAACTGACTGGAAGAGATCCATATTTGTACTCATTCCAAAGAAAGGTGATCCCACAGAATGTGGAAATTGTCAAACAATATCATTAATATCACACGCAAGTAAAATCTTACTGAAGATAACTCAAAAACGGTCGCAGCAGTATATTGACAGAGAGCTTCCAGAAATGCAAGCTGGATTCAGAAGAGGACGTGGTGTGAAGGATATCATAGCTGATGTCAGATGGATTTTGGCTCAAAGCAAAGAATACCAGAAAGATGTTTATTTGTGTTTTATTGACTATGCAAAGGCATTCAATTGTGTGGATCACAACAAACTGTGGATAACATTGAGAAGAATGGGGATTCCAGAACACTTAATTGCACTCATGAGGAACCTGTACATAGACCAGGAGGCTGTCATTCAAGTAGAATGAGGGGATACTGCAAGGTTTAAGGCCAGGAAGGGAATGTGTCAGGGTTGTATCCTTTCACCATACTTATTCAATCTGTATGCTGATTAAATAATCTGAGAAGCTGGACTATTTGAAGAAGAATGTGGCATCAGGATTGGAGGAAGGCTCATTAACAACCTGAAATATGCAGACAGCACAACTTTGCTTGCTGAAAGTAAGATGACTTACTTTAATAAAAATTAAAGACTGCAGTCTGCAATACAGATGACACCTCAATATAAAGTAAACAAAAATCCTCACAACTGGACCAATAAGCAACATCATGATAGATGGAGAAAAGACTGAAGCTATCAAAGACTTCATATTGCTTGGTTCTACAATCAATTCCAATGGAAGCAGCAGTCAAGACATCAAGACATGTTGCATTGGGCAAATCTGTAGCAAAAGACCTCTTTCAAGTACTGAAGAACAAAGATGTCTCCTTGAAGACTAAGATGCGTCATGGTATTTTCAATCGCCTCATATGGATGTGAGAGCTTGACAATGAATAAGGAAGATCAAAGAAGAGTTGATGCTTTTGAACTGTGGTGTTGGCTAAGAATGCTGAAAGTACCGTGGACTGCTAAAAGAACTAACAGATCTGTCCTGGAAGAAGTGCAGTCAGAATGCTCCTTGGAAGCGAGAATGGCCATACTTCATCTTACATACTTTGGTCATGTTGTCAGAAGGGACCATCCTCTGGAGAAGGATGTCATACTTGGTAAAGTGGAGGGTCAACGAAAAAGGGGAAGGCCCTCAACAAGATGGATTGACACAGTGACTGCAGTGATGGGCCAAGATATAGTAGGAATTGTGGCACAGGACTGGGTAGTGTTTCATTCTGCTGTACAAAGGGTCGCTATGAGTTGGAGACAACTCGACGGCACCTAACAACAACATCTTCAATGGATTGAGAGACAGCTCAAAGGAAAACACAGACAAAATTCCAGAGCATTTAGGAAAACAAAACAAGAACAAACTGACAAAATAAATGAGCAATTAGAAACCATATAAAAACAGCAATTAGAAATCCAGAAGATTAATACTAGAAATATGTAACACATTGAAAGGGCAAAGGAGTAGAACTGAATCAATGGAAGACAGAATTAGTGAGACTGAAATCAAATCTACTTTATTAAGGGAACAATCAGAAAAGGAACCAAAAAAAGAAAAAGAACCAAAAAAAGAAAAAGGGCAGGGGGAAGAAGAAAACCTAAGATTTACATGGAACACCATCAGGAAAATAACTAACATGTGATCAGAATTCCAAAACCATACATAAGTTGTCAAAGATTTTTTTGGAAAAGAACTTCCCTAACATGAGGAAAAACAAGAAGATACGTGCTTCAATAATTTCTTTTTGAAAGATCAGCACATGGCCAGTCCCTTTGA